CCTGCTTACAAATACTGCTGTCCTGTGCTCCAGGTGGATCATCTGTGAGCCTAAATTTGTGTACTGCGGCCCAACAGCTTCTGGTCCATACTCTGCCGCTATCAGGGAGGCTGGAAAGATGGTGGTCCTGCATAAAGGCTTAAGGAGATCTGCAAGCTGCAGGGAGAGGAGTCATTTGACTTATGTCAGACTTGAAAGGTCTGTTGTCTCTCTCCAAAGATAGGGAAAGGGAAAAAAAAGTGGGGAAATAAATGATATTGCACTGTATGGTCCTTCTCTGATTTGTGCGTTATTTTGTATTCAGTTACCTGTTCAAAGACAGGCAGTGATGGAAAGCTGAGGAAATAAGTTTTCAGCTATTCCAGGACATTCTGATGATAGATAGGGACTTTTGGAAAACCCTAATAACATGATATTTTACTTTTACTTCAGTCTATGTTTCTATTTCCTCCCCTCTGGCCTTTTATAAATTTCAAAGTTACACAACACTTCCCAAGAATGCCCTTCCCTCTGCCTTTTTACTGGCCTTGAACATAAACAGGGAGAGCTTGAAATCTGGTTGTGAAACCTTCACCTTATTTTGACAATAACAGTCTCATCTCCAACACTATTCATTTTACATAGTGAATTAATTTTTTGTTTGTTAATGATGGGTTCTTCTTCCTATTTAAAAGATTTTCTACCTGTGTTTTACACTACTGAAATTCATGTGCTGTGGTTCTCATAATCAGAAATAATGAAACATTAATTTATATTATATTTTCCAAGATTTATTCTATATAATAAGTAACTATTGAATTCTCTTTGCATATTTTAATTAAATTTAATCTGTTTGAGTTGCAGTGGTCAAATTTTTGGGTAATGTGAATTAAGTAATGTAACATTTGTTCATTTTTTTCTAAATTGAAAATATTTGAAGACGCAGAGAAGAGAAGCAAAAGTTTATTTATTCTCTGACAAGGTTAAAGCCCAAGAGCAAGTCAAAACCCCCAAAGCCTCACACTGGATCTGTTTATTGAAACATTCAAATACAATTCATTCTCTCTATGATTTCTTTGTTGAAACTATGGCAGCATATGGGGAAGTAAGATATATTACAATAAAACTGATATAAAACAGTTGAATTCAGAAATAGTGGCAAGAGATAATTTTGGTTCACTATGATTTAATTCAATTAAATGAAACACTGCTAACTGCAGACTAAGAAGAATTACTTGTGCCTGTGCAGGCACACACAAGTATTATTTATTCTCTGCTGCATCTCTCTTTACAGAAGAAATTACACCAGTAAAAAGTAGGTGCTTGATTCTTTCATAGCACTGTAAAAGTCTATATACCTCACAGACCTCAATGGAAATTTTACGTGAGCAAGGAGAAACATTGAGCTAAGGTGTTGGAGAGTAGACCCTTTAAAACTCAGGAATCTGTCCTTATTTAGTATGCTCTCTTTGAATGTCAGCAGTTTTGGTGCAGGCTTGTGGACTAACTTATAAGATAGTGCCTCAAATGAGGTTGCCACCAGCAGGAAAAATATAACTGCCAATTTTATTTTTTTCTTCAGAAACAAAACAATCCATCAAAACAAACTGGTCTGTTTGAGCTGCCTGTGCCTTGCCTATCCCAGGCACTGCTCTGAGTCTCTCGAGGAAGAGCAATTACTGATCACCATCCTCCTCCTCTATCCACCTAAGGTGTTCCCTTCCCGGTACCATAATAGCCCAAACCCACAGAGGCACACAGGCATTCAAGGACTGTGAGTTTCAATTGGAACTATGTGCCTAAATGCCTTTGTGCATCTATGCCTACAGGCCATGCTGGCCATGCCCCAAATCCCAGCTCCCAGGCTCACTGCCTAGGAGGAGGCTAATGAAGGGCAGGTGGCACAAGACTGAGCTCCCTCCCAGGGCTATCTGACCCTGCAGCTGTGGGACAGTGAGCTGTGACGGAGATGAGTGCTCATTGTGGCAATGGGAAAAGATTTACCATGGATGTTGAGAGGACCTGCCTCCTTTTTGAAACTCTCCTGTTTCAGCCTGGCTATCCCTTCCTAGCCAGAAGTTCCTCCCATATAAATCACCCTCCCAGTGCTTTACAGGATGGAAATGAAAGCCCACAGGCAACTCCATGAATGCTTGGCATGCCAGCATAGAGTAACAGACAGAGGCTTGGCCAGGATTTTTGTATGGATCCAACAGAAAGAAATTTGATAGGTATGTTTTATTTGACCACGTAAGCTAAGATGTGTGACACTGTCCTGCTTGGGTCAGGCACCCGCTGTTCATGCATAAGGACTCCCAGAACGATAGTCCTTACAACCTCACACCTTGTAGCAGACAGGTGTGGTATAAAATGCTTGTTTATGTTTTGTCAATATGTTTCTGTCATGGCATGCTTTAAACATCCAGCTCCTATAACTGTAAGCAAATGGGTGCCTCCAGTCCCAAAGAGTGAGTTGCAATGTAGGTCTGGGATAAGAGCTTACAGCAAATGAAGAATAACTGTGAGCCAGAAACAAAGGAATAAATTTTTAATAGTCACAATGATTACCCTTACACATCTGCGTGACCACTGTCTGTTTACAGGCAGGCTAGCAGAAGAGCATCTACTCTTGAGTTATTCTTAAGAGAAGAGTAAGTCTGGGAATCAAGGAGGAAACCAAAACGTGTGTTGTGATGCAGTAGTAATTTCATCTGCTAATGCTTTGGGATTGTTTGATAAGGCAGATAACTGCCTTTGATCACATCATTGTAACCATCACCTTTAATTTGTAGCACAGAGGTTGCTATCTAGCACCCAGCTAGCCAAATGAAATGTATGGCTTGATTAAGGATCTCTTTTGTCAGTAATTTGTGCCTAATGTTTTTAGCTTTCCCACGGGCTGTTACAGAAAATGGTAAATCTGGTTTAAATGAAACCTGATACTGTTAATGGTTTAATAGCAGCTGCCACAGGGTTATGGCATTTTTCAACAGATGCTTCTGTTTCGTTTTAAGCCTACACTAAGTCCTAGAATATATTTACATAATTAATATAAAGTACACCTACATAATAATGAAAATATTTATAGTTTTAAAAGATTTCCTTAAATGACTTCCTCTGTCTTGCTATTATCTAATCACAATATATAACTTGAAACAGGAAGGCATATTATTAGAAATAATAATTTATATTCACTTCTTCAAAAAAGTTACGGAATGCAGCACAACCATGAACACTTATCATCTCCTAACATGGCAGTTGTTGGTATGGGGAAATCCCTTAGCTTTTTCAGAAAAAGAGAGAAAAATTTGGCTGCACCTGGATTATGCTAATTACCTTGATGTTCAATAATGTGTATAAAAGAAGTCATGCTTGTATTTAAATATACACATTGAGAAAGAGCTGTGTTGGGGTGTGTACTTACATACAGAAATATTTGAAGCAGTACAGATTTGTGGCCGGTTGTTGACTACAGAATGTCATCTTGATTGAGGAAATTCCTGCTAATTTAGGAAGATTTAGGCATTTTAGGCTTTTCATAGTTGGTGACTGGTTTGCATTGATGTCTTCTGCTCGGAGGTCTTATTCTTGAGTTTCAAAAAGTGCAGAGGGTATATCCTACTGGACACTCAAAGTCAAAAGATGCCCTTTGAATATTGTGGGCTTCTGCAGTTCACAGGGAGGAAAGCAGGAGAAAAGGCTTCTCTTTGTCTACCTTGGCTGGAAGGTAAGGTAATGTTGAGCAGGCGAGTGTACCAAGATATTTGCTGCTATGAACTGTGAGGACTGAAATGGGAACAATAAAATGTGAAAAACATTCAAATAACAGAACACTGTCTTTATTAAAGAAGATTTAAGATTTAAATCTTAAATTTAAATTGAATTTAAGAGATTTAAGAGATTGGATTTAAGAGATTAGGCAGTCCCAGTTCTCTTAAGAGAATGTGTAGGAATAGTGGCAAAGCAGATGTTTCTCTGTCTGAGAGGCATAGCTGATGTATTTGCTCCCCTTGTCTCCAGGTGACTACCCTTCATAGCTGTTAGCCTGGGTATGATGGTAGTCATCTTCCATGATCTAGCTTTTGTATGTTTTTTTTTCTTTTATTTGTCTTTTTGAATGTATTAGAATTGCTCAACAGGACCTGGGTCAACCCTCACCTTGATTAAAGAAAACAGTTAAAACTGTGGCATAGAATCAGATTACTTTTTCTTTGTGCTTACCCTCCTCCCTTCTCTACCTGCCAAAACTTTACAGACAGATTTACATAACTTCATATTACTTCATAGTGTTTCTTCACCACTAGTTTTCACGTCTTTGCCATGGGAACACAATTGCCCTAGAGCCCCAAGCTCTTCCACAGCTCCAAACCACTCAGAAGAATATTTCTACCTATCCGATGAAAAGTGCAAACAGTGTTTGCCAGCCTTTGGTATGCTGAGAGTTTTTTACCTCAAAATGCTTTTTGACCCTACACTGAGGTTCACATACTTTGCAGAAAGAACTTTAATTTAGAGGAGGAAGGCTATTGTGTACCAGCATTCTTCCCAGAACTGGGTGGAGAAGATTTTGTGACTCAGTGAGGTGCAAGACTGCAAGTATTCTCATTGGGTATTTGGATGAGGTCTCCAAAGTTGCTGCAAGATTAATCCAGTAGTGTCTCAGCAAGCCCTCACAGGGACACCTCAGATTTCCAAGATGGTTTCTCACTCTGTCTTAAAGTTTTCTAGTGGCAATGTTTTTACACCACTGGTAAACAAAGACAGTAAATGAAGGCTTTCAGAAAGCCAAGGGGAAAACAAAGAAATCACAAAATTAACATTCAAAAAAAACACAGCATTTTTTCTCAGAGTGAAAAATTGTTCAAATACATGCTTTGCTGCAAAGAGAAGAGTTGTTAATTGTTTTTGTATGCAAAATTGGTTCAAAGGTATGAAGTTTGTAGAGCTTTATATGATAAAAGAAAGTCAGTTCCCTTGTGATGTTTTTGTAACTAATAAATCTTTTTCTCCTTCTTTGCTAGGTTCTACCACATAGAAAAGCTATGAAGCCAGGAATGGTACTCCTCTTTGAACTTTTCCTTCTTCGTGGCACCTATACTTGGATTGATCAAGAAGTAGGATGGGGAGCTTTTCCCTTATGTGATAACAATTTTAATGCTTTGGAGGGAAAATTTAAATGTCCCTTCCTGAGAGGCCATTACGACCCTAAAGTTGACAGATTCAAAAAAATTGAAAACTTTATTTGTCAAGACTTGGATCATTGGTTATGCAATCTCTACTTTCAGGTTTGTATTAAAAAAAATAGGCCTACTTTTTTAGTCATTGTTACTCACAACAGATTCTATTTCCTTCTGTCAGCCCTAAAAGATTTGTCTTTCCAAAAAGCAGCTTCTCAGCCTACTCAATGAGTATCTAAATCTCATTGCATCTCCAACTTTTACACGAAATTAGTAGATATTTTGCAGCTTTGCAGCTGGATTTTAGGATTATTTAAAATATAAAAATATTTCTTGGGGTGCTGGGTAATTGGATCAAAAGTTCAAATTCCAAGTTTGGCCCTGCCACTAGTACATGTTAATTTCCTCCACAGTTTTACTGAATCACAGAGATACTTTCATATGACTACAAGATAAAATAATATTTTTTCTGATATTGTTTTACTTGTATGTGTGGGACCTCCAGCTAGTGAGCATGGTTCTGTTGTGTTAGGAACCTTACTTTTGAACAGTTTTTGGGCATAGTTCAGACATGATGTTATTTGTATGTCTTTAGTGAAAATGGACCTAAATTAAGAACTTCTCTCCGGTGGAAAGTTTTTTCTGGATGGGCAAGTTAAGGAGTTTTTTGTAGCTGAAATATGTTTCTTCATTCAGAATCTTAACAAGATCTTAAACTTATACCTCTTTTATAGTCAAATTTTACTCAGGAAAAAATACCAAAATAGATGAATTTTGAAAGCATCTCAATTATAATGTGGGCTTACTTAATAGAAATTTCAGTTTTTAATTTTCTTGTAAGTGATGATTTTCAGACAATCTTATTTTTGGGTCTACCAAGAGTAAAAGAAAGTAAAAGTAACTTCAGAAACACATAAAGCGATAAGAATTTATACAATAAATATACCTAATACATGCTAGGAAAGAGAATGTCAGAAATAATAGAGCTATTGGGTAAGGAGGAGGTGAAGATTCCAAAGCTGCAAAATTAGTCTTTCAAATCAATGTATAAGGTGGGATGATTTAATAATCCAGGGTATCTGTATTTTCCCATATGATTCTGAAATTGGATTGTGACTCACACCCCCCTCATCACCCCCCATTTACTGGGATGTCTGCTTTGGTCAGTAAGCAGACATACATGGTAAACTTGTATGGGAGAGGACATACATGGTAAACTTGTATGGGAGAAGAAGGTAACAAATGGAGCAGAGAGAAACAAGAATTTCCTAGAATTCTCATAGCAACATCTTGGACTTCTAGGGTTCACAAACTGTGTACAAACAAGTATGTTCTGGTTCAGTGGAATTCTGAACTGCTTTCTTTTTATTTATTTTTTTCCCCCCACTTAATAGATAACTAAACTGCCACAGGATTCAGATAAGCAAAGTAAGTGTGATATGCATCTTCATCTCCCCCCTGAACTTCACATGTATTCAAGTGTTGCTGAAAAGAATGATGTCTCAGAGAAGGTTGTACAGTCTGGACCACAAGGTGATGGATTCAAACTTTGATGTTTTTATTCGGGTTTTCACTGGAGCAACCCATAGTTTAATTTTAATGTTGGCTAGTCCTTATTGATCTTGTTAAGCTAGATTTTTTTCTTCATGCCTTGTAGCAGGAATACTGTGATTCTTTTTATTAAGGTGGTTTAACTTTGTTTCAGGTGTAAGTAATGTAAATAAACCTCATTGCTAAGGATTATACTTTCCGTGCTGGCCTATGCTTAAGGCTGAATAATGCTTGGAATGTCACAGCAGTAGCATTTCAGCTGCTTATGGCATCAAGCTTATAGAAAGAGAAAAAAAAAAGGTACTTTTTTTTTTGTCTATCGCTTGAAGAACTCTAGCACCTCCCTGGGCTACAACAAGGACTTCAAATTTGGCAGGGAGATAGTTCTGGCATCAGAGACATGCCTTATGCTACTCCTATAAAATTCCATTAGATTCAATCAAGCGGTAATCCATAGGAAAGACAATTATCATTTGCTTGTGCACAGCAGACCTCCCCAGAAGCTTTCTTAAAAAGCTGAATGTAAGTTTTAGACTGAGCATCCTTCCTGGCCTCTGTGAACCTTCTGATGTAGCCACGCTGAAGACGTAATTGACTATATTGCAATGGACTCACAAATTGCTCCTCTACTGTTAGAAATCAAGTAATGAGAAAAATGGCAGGAGACTGCTGTTGCTCTTTTCTTTTTCAGCCTGTGGGATGTGACTGCCATGGGCAAAAAGAATTCATTTTTGCTAAATAGTTGTTTCTATATTTTCTCTTGTTTAATGAACAAGGATGCAGCCAAACTACAGATTGTAGTGTATCTGTGAATATGATATAAAGATCTGAAGCAGAGACTTAGTTCTCCAGGACAGAGGTTCCTCAGGCATTTGAGAACAGTAGCAGTGATACACTGTAGATGGCATGGGAGGGAAAAAAAAAAAGAGTGTATTGGAAGGAAAGAAAGAGAATAGATAAACAATAATCATTCAGCATGGTAGATGAGCGGCTCAGGTTGGAAGTATAACATGAAAAGAAGACAGTAGAAGTATTTTTCAGGCATTGAGTAATGATTTAGGAGAGAAAGAAAGTGAGGTTTGCCCTGAGATGCTTTTAGGCTAAGCAGCAATTGCACTATGATCAAAAGACTTTTATATAACCACCTTGAACCAGAAGCATGGAGTGTAAACATACACTGTGCTGTAAGGTCCTTTTTGTTGTC